CGGAGAGTCGTTTATCTCTGGTACGGTAGTGCATCAACTCGCGGTCGGCGTCGTTCTATTATTACAACAAATTGGACACGGATCCTATTCTCGTATTTCCCGTAGATTCCCTCGAACTATTTCTCGGAAGGAATGAGTTTCGAATGAGTTACTGTTGCAGGCATTAAGCCGTTTGCAACGAGAGAGCCGCGCGTGCAGAAGGTGCGGAGGGAAGTTACTGCTAGCCCGCGCGAAGTGATTTCAGAGGAGCGAGATATTTCAGACTCCAGAAATGGTGAAATAAAGCGGCCGACGCGTTGCGCTGTTCATGGCTCGTTATTATGCTATACGCCGTGTACCACGTGGGTTCGCGAAAGAGCCGCGAAATAAGGGGGTGCGAGGGGGATGAAAATGAACGAAGGAATGAGACGGACAGAGGCGCTGAGTCTCGGGAAAATGAGAAGGGGGAGGATGGGGAACGATGAGAGACATACTCTTTGGTGCGAAAAGGAGAGCAACGGGTAAAAACGAAGAAGTCCAAGTGCTGAATTAGACGATGCATAAAAGGAAGGAAATATTCTACTTGACAGAGAATAAAGAGACGCAAGCTTGCCGGTTATGATGAGAAAGGGAGCGAATAAATTTCTTATTTGGTTTCGGACGTCGATATTAACTAGATATTAAATAGTAAGAGGACTAAATAAAATCTAGAAAATAATTCACTTGAAATATATATTCACTTACAATTGTATTTATTTGTCCGTCATTTATATAAGGCTGTCGCAAAATCGGAAAAAGATCAATCGTAATCCAGAAACAATAATGAGAAAACAAGCGTTAATGCAATTTCACAAATGATCGACAGTCTGAGATCGAACAATTCTCAACACAATCGGGATTGACGCTATCGAGAAATAGAAATAGAATCAAAGGTTCGGCGCGAGAAACGAATGCAGAAAACGTAGCAGAATAGAACGAATCAACTCAAATAAGCCGCGACGCGGCGGATAATGAGAGCAAGAGTCGATGGGACTATGCGAGCGAGTTGCAAAAGGGACAAAAAGCATCCGAGAATCTGGAGCGCGCGGCAAACAAGTGAAAAAGGGAGGAGAAACGTGTATATAAAGCACTTCGCGCTTTGGGGATTTCGCGACGCGTATTTGCCAACGGATGCTGCCATAAGCACCCGAGAAGATAGCATCGCCATAAATAGGAGCGCGTAAGCGCCTGTCGGACTAAGTAGACGAAACTCTTATTATTCCGGCGGCGTGTTGTAACGGCGCGCGCCGCGGAGGCGTCAGTGATTTTCTAGCCTCGCATTCGCGAAAATAATCCTTCAGCAACACGCGACGAGTCGCGTGGACTTTACTCGGCGGTTCATTTTCTGAAGAAAGCCGCGACCTTCCGTCTCTCGTGTTCTTCCGTTTGACCTCGCTCGTACGCTTCCACTCGGAAGCCGAAGCGACGAAAATCGAGGAAGCATGATCGTCGAAGTGAGAAATGCCGCGTTGCGGGGGTGTTTTAACACGGTTCACTGGTTCGCGGCTATGCGGGTTCTTAACGGGTGATAGCGGTGATAGTGGTGACAGGTTCGAGTTTATTTATAGCCGCGATATTACCGATACGACAATATAAGGACACTGTTTGAGAGATTAATTATAAGAGCGTCACTTTTTACTTATGGCAAAGTTTCACCTTTTGCCTTTTATCTTTATCTCCAGTTTTTAATCGCACGCTATTTCTAGGTTTATCGCGCGATATCGCTCAACGTGGAAAGCATTTTTTTTCCTACTGCATGATGTGTGCGCTGCTATAATGCTGACTCAAATTATGCCGCGATCGTACGTACACAAATGCGTGTGTGTGCGCGATCATAAATGAAAACTTACTTCGCATCGTAAATGTCGCGGCGACTGAAATTTTTTAAAATGCAACCGGTTCTCGTGCTCTAAATCTGAACGTTGATATTTTGACGTTCGTTCTATAAAGTGCATTAGTGACGATGTGCATCGGCGAAAGCTCGTGATATTTTTTATCGCGCTTCGCTCCCATACCCTAACTCTCGCGTGCGCCTTTCGCCGCTCGCTTTTTTGAAATGATCGACTATTGGATTACTTACATACGCTTCGCCGGCTATAACTTAAAACGCCGTGTCGACAATATGCGTGAGGCAACGGATGCGACTGCGAAAAATGCAGATGCGCGCATTACTTGCCGAATTGTCAACATCGGGAATGCATTTTTGTCCTCGTACTCAAGACTAATTGGAAAATACCGCGGGTAATGCGTTTCTCTCTTGATAAAATTTACAATGCTCGCGACGCTCACTCCGCATCGTTGAACGTTATCGTTGAGATTTGCGATGCAAATGCAATGAAAGTAGCGAATGGCAAGCTCGGTTTTGATAATCCGGCGATATAACGATGAATTAAATGATACGAGAAATGTTTGGAGAATCGAACAATTTTCTTTAACGAACGTTCTCTTCTAATCCGCGCAATTTCGTTCCAATTATACACGCGAGTTGAGAGATTCAGTGCGAATTAAAGTCACCGCGGATTGTAGCGAAAGTGCTAAAAATACGTGATTGGTAAGGATTATCTGTCATTTGAGGGTCGTTCTGCCACGGCGCACTCGTTGTTTGCCAAAAAGTATGCTCACTATCCGCTTCTCATGGCCCCGGATTCAAAACGGCTATTCTCCGGTAAGTCCGATCCATCAAAGCCGACCGAAGCGAGAGCCCTGATACGGCCGAATTTCCCGCGAGAGCCACCACGGCCCGCGGGCCGCCGACAGACGAGCATGCTCGCCGGAATTATGGTTCCCTTATGCTCCCATTACGAAGCCATCTACGGCTATACTCGGTTCCACCTCTGCTTCTCCTTCAAGCCCCTTCTCGCTCCTGCCTCTCTCCCCGTCTGGTTTACGTCTCCCGCAAACAATCTCCGTGGGGCATTTTTGGCTCTTGATCGATGTTGACCTTTTAATGGGTCTTGTTCATCCGCGCGCACGTGGAACGGCCGGGCCGTTTGTCGTTCGTTTTAGGCGCGCTGTGTACGTTTCGCGTTGACCCGGGCGAGATTTGATGGACAATATCGTAATGCAGTCGCCGGAATAATTTTGTACGAGCGATACCGGCGACGGCCGGCAGCAAGTAATATCCTTGGTTGTTGATCGATGTTGACGTTTGCGCGTTATCGTTAATGGAGAAACAGATGACGCTTTTGTGGCAGCGGAGAAGCTTGTGTTTTATTTACAATTCTGTTATCGGCGAAAGCGATGATATTGGGGATACATATTGGAACGCGCATACTTCGCCGGATACGTTTTAACTCGAGTACACTCGCGCTGATTGTGTTTTCTGCGCCGCGTAAGTTTTCGCGTCGGGATTTTTTTTTGTCGCGATGTAAACGTGAAAAATTTTATTTAATTTTTTTCTGCTATTACGACTTGCTGCAATCATGTTAGCCAATTAATTTTGCCTCGATAACGTCGAAATAATAAAACTTGTTGAATCCGAATAAAAATTGATTCGTATTTTATACAATTTGCAATCAAAATCAGTTTTGTGTATTATCGCGTTGGGGGTGTAGCGTTTTGATTCAAAACTTGTAATTGAAATTTGTGTAGACATTCGCCATAAACTGTACCGATGAGTTATATTCTAGATACGTTCGTCCTATACGCTTACGCCCGACATTACAAATGGTCAATGGTAGTTGGTCAATGTCCTCTCTAGCATGCATTTGATGGAAGATCGGTACGTAATGTCCAAGTTACCAAATTGCCTATGACTAACTTGCATTTCGGACTGCGTCCATTCCCTATTGCACCGGTGATCATACTGCGCAAACATAATTTCCGCCTTCCTTATTGCACGCTTGCACGTAATATTCATATTATGATCCACGGTTGACAGCCACTTCTTTATTGGCGCGCCTCTGCGGGACGGAAAGTGGCGTACGAAATAATCGCATTGTGTTACATCGAGTGTATCCAATAATATTGCATTAGATTGCTGGAGGATAAATCTGCAACGGGCAATCCAAACGTGCATTTATCTTTCACGCTAGGCTGGTGGCCATTTTTCTCCCCGGTGCCCTTTGCCTCTCTATACCATATTTTATATCACTGGATATAATTTCTCCGCGCACCTCCCATACGATATTAACGTCTTCACGCTAGATACATTTGAGGATACAATGTGTTCCCTATAAATCAATAACAGGAATTAAAAGACATTGAATTAGAAAAAACTGACATTTCAATCGGATAAATTAAACCGGATGCGATAAATCAAGTATAGCACATTGAATGCGAATAAAGTATCGTCATAATATATAGAACACGTAACGCTTAACTAAATGTTTCCTGCAAGAATATAAAACACAATTAATTTTTAAATAAAAAAATAAAAAATAACGAAATTTAATAAAAAATAAATTCAATAAAAAAGAATGCAAGGATAAAGTTATTTGTAGGAAATCTGATTAATAAATATTGATAACTACAGATATATATCTACCTTTGATAACTACAGATATATCTACCTTAGATTTTAATGAAAAAAAAAACAATGCAATTTATTTAGTTCATTTCAAACGGTCAAAACAAATAAACAGATTTTAGATGAACACTAATTGTATTCGTTTTAAAAGCAGAAACGGTTTAGATAAATCTAAGTGAAATATCGATAGAGTAAATTTAATCACACACACGCGCGCACATACATTTTCACTCTCTGAATTGAAAAGAAGCAAGTTAAATCAAATTTGTTGCTTTTGTAAAGTTTTAAATATAGGTTAAGAATACAATAGTGAATAGTATATGTATCTGTTTGGACAGTTAATATTAATGTTTATTTATAAATCAACGCACGTATATTGATCTTTTAGAAGTATGTTTTTAGATATTTATATCATATTCTATCTGGTGATTGTAAAGGCGAATGTATTTTATTATTATCTTATATTGTATAATCACACTTTTCTGAAACATTGCAATTTTATCTTTCTTTTCAGATCCTAAATTCAAGGAGCCAATAGCCAATGTAACCGCGCCGGTGGGAAGGGAAGCCATTCTCTCCTGCGTAGTTCAAGATCTCGCCGGATACAAGGTAATTCGAGTTTTTATGGATACGTTTGAGCATACTCTGCCGATCGATTCTTTCATTAAAGTGTCAAACGTCCTTAATGTGCCAATTAAGCTTGTCAATTTCTCGATATCCGACAAACTTCTCCAAAAAACTGTCTAAATTCTTCCACATAGGTAATTTAATTGGTACCAAAGTACGCTATCGAGTATATAGTTAAGCATATATTAAATTTTTCACAATAATACGAAACTCGTTTAATTTTTAATCAGAAATCAATTATGTCTTGAATCTACTGTTTTTTTTTCTTAAATACATTAAACAGTATGCTTGTTACGAAAATCTTAATGAAATTAATTAAATTATTGAATTTGAGATGCTATCGATATTTGAAAATTAAAACATTGCAACAATTTGTTTTTTTTTTTGTTGTTGTCGTTACATTCATTATTTGACGACTTAAACTGTTTATCGGTGATATATTTTTATATCACATGCTTTACTCTTCGAACGATCATAAAACGTGTTTTTATAGTGTACTTATGAGAATAATTCATGAATAAGTAGTTAGGAACTAGCTGCGAAATTCTGCGCGGCCATTTCGAGGCACCGCGAATGCCCCATGATAACAAGTACCTAAATGGCGCTAAGTCACTTTAAGTGACACGACGGCTTCGTAATTTTAATATGAAGATAATACAAATGTTAACACGTAGTAATATAAAAAATTATGAAACACTTAATAATATCAAGCGAAATACTCTGCAATTTCATATTCTGTAAGTTTTACAGTTTTTGTTATAAAAAAGTCGGGTCAGGCCGTACACATTATTAAGAATAGAATTAAATATCATTTTTTCATGTATATAATATTATAATAAATTTTTAAATATTAATTTATACTCTTAATGGTTTTTATGACTAATATCACGACATTAACTTTGCATACCATTAGTTTTACATTTTACATTAGACCACATTTTACATTAGCGTATAAAAGGTGTACGTACAATATTTCTGGACTGAAAACTAATCATAAAGATATTTTGGAACAAAAGGGAATCCAGAATGCTGAATAACCGCGGATTGAATTGTTTAACCCATTGACCTCGTTAGTGAACCACAAAAAAATTAAGTGAATTTCTATCTCTCTTCGCTACTCTTTGCACATTGCCACACTTTAGATTGTCTGAAGGATCCTTTTACGAGGCCGAAGCAATTAGTTAATTAATTAGTAAAATTACGTGGAGAAGTATAAAAATGAATATTTCCCAGGCATAAGAGATAGAACGCTATTCAGTTTTTATACGCAATTCCGGTTCAGCCAACTAGAGTGGGTTTAGCACAAATGTTAGGTTGATAATGACTTTCGCGCAAAGTACTAATTAGGGAATGAAAACCATATATGAGGTAAGAGTAGCGTCTCAAACAGCAATTTAAGAAAGTTTTTATCTTGCGAATCGGTTGTTCATTAGTATCTCAATTAATATGGAGTGGAAATGCAAATATTCAAGTAGTAGTTAATAGCATTACTTGGATATTTGCAATAAATTCTAATGTAAAATTCTTGTATTAAAATATGCGACTATCGATTTTTTTACATTAGAATTGCAGATTAATTTTACATCCGTAACTTCATTCGTCAGATAAGTGCCAGAATAATCGCTAGAAATTTAACGTTCTTAACACGTGTGTATTGGACTAACTTTTCGCGAATTTGCGAAAAATGTCATGCAAAGTTCGCGCATAAACTCTCGTTAGAAAAAAAAAGTTACATTTTTATCCGTTTTCTGGTTGACGCGTAAAAAGTTTGTGTAGAAATAAACTTTGTCCAAGAGATTTTTTTCGAGCTCGTATATTTTCTGGCATTCGAGACATTAGAAAACCAATAAAAGTTGCACAAAAAAAATAGAATGGCATTGCAGTAGGAAAAAGAGATGCTTCAAACAACGGGATGTTAGCTTTGTGAACTGTAATGAAAATGTCTGCTGTTTTGTTCACATTAAATACCACTTGTTACGCGCCGGGGGGCCGCACGATGAATCATAATTGCTAAAAAATGAAGGGATGCTTTTGATACGCTCTTGTCATGAAAAGCAGTCAACGTTTTAGTTTATTTTTCATTATTACATTTTTACTGTGTCAGCTGCAAAAAATCATACGGTAACGAGTAAAAGGTGAATGCACATGCCAAATACTACGAATATGCTGGAGAGCTCATGAAGAGAACCGCGGTATGTAAGATATGAAAAGCATAAATTTAGTAGCATTATTTAATGTACAAATGTCTCGGTAATACATTAACTATTATTTAAATTCACATTTTCGTGTTATATTAATCAAGATTGATAAATACAATAACTGCAACAAGATGGAAACTTGATCGAACTTTAGACAGAATTTCATTCTTACATGTTTTACATGATTCTCATATCCGAGCAAGCTCGCTATACGTTTAACTTTGTACTAAACAGTTATTGCGCATTATATTTCGCAGTAATGACATTCGCAGCATTATTATGATCATTTGCGGTGTGCCCTTAGCATATTATCGCCATTTTTCATATCTCGCGTGAAAAGGATGACTCCTATCTAGATTAAACTCGAGGTTCAAATGATATCTAATTATCTTTTGTATAAACACGAATAAACACGAATTTTCATTCGTTAAATTATTATTATACCCGAGTAATATACAAAGCACTTTTGTCAAACGGCATCATTTGCAAACATCCTCCCTTTTTGACCAATTAGAATGTCGATATCATAAACAAATGTTTCATGCTGTTCGGATTGCAATTGAATATATCTATTTGCAGTTCGCACTGTGGCTTCCACAACGCTTGAATTACATTCCATCAATCGAGAATTAATTGAGGGCTGCTTAATTAATTTTGGGAAACGATATAGGCTCTAGTTGTTTGGTTTGTAATTGTCGATCATAATATGAAGCAGTTCGATATACCGTAACGATTATTATTCTTAATCAACGACTGCGTGGAAACGGGCAATTTTTATATCTCGGATATCAGTCTTTGAATAAATTATACATTCCTTCAGTTTATTCAGTCTGTGTGAAATAGTGTGGGAAATATAATCATTGTAAATTAAAATGGAGAAATAACGGAGTATCTGCGAGTGAAAGGAGATTTATACGCGGTGGACGGCGTGTAGAAATCGCGAAGGATCGACAAGAGGAAAGGTATTGAAAACTATTCATCCTGCGCCGGGCTCGCCGGACATGAAATTCAAATCAATGCATTTATAGAGACCACGCGGACCCGTCCGCGGCCGACATTGCTTACGTGGGGACGACGACGTCGGGCAAAGGAGCGACGGGGGAGGAGGAGAAGGCGAAAAGGGGGGGATCAATGGGTGGGATAGGGTGGAATAATCGCGCCGTTTATAAGCCGCCGGTGCGTCGGTCGGTGTTCCGGCTATGCATTAAGATGACGGATAACAGCCGCAGCTATGCCGGAAGGCTTGAATCGTCACGATGCGGTGATAACGACGCCTCTCCGGGCTCGTTGCGCCCGGTTTACATGTGATACGCGGCGCAGACATTAACCCTTTTACTTCCCACGTGACGCAATAGTCGCACGTGCCGTCGAGCCTCTCGTCGGTCGCATGACGGGTTCTGAGTTTCAAATGCATCTTGCCATCTGTCGCATACGCACAAATATTTGATCGTATTTCACAACCGATATGCGGCCGATAATGTTAATATTTAACGCGTGCTAACCGAATGCGTAACGCGCAGCATTGTACATCGATCAATTTTCGTAATAGAGAAGTGAAGGTCAATTTAACTGGGGCGCTTAAATTATTTATTTTGTCTACTTGATCTATATTTAATTTTTCGAAGCTTAATTTATTTTAATCTTATTTACATAAAAAATTAGAAAAAGAAACTAATCTTAATTAAAATAAAATAAAATTCAATATAATAATCCTTAATTGCTTGACATCCAATTGACTATTATTTTTTTGCTTATAATACATTCAAAAGTTTTTTTCTCAGATTGAATTGGAAATGTGTGACATAACTGCGACACATCTGATTTAGCAACAATGTAATAGATGTTCCGTGAAACGAGCAGAACTAAGTTATAGCCCGAGGATATAATGGCGGGTTGACCGGGTGATTGAACATGGACTTCTCAAGATTATAGTTCCGACCGAGAGCTATCAACTTTGCTTGAATTTTAATTGCAAAGTTTCGGTCTACGTGTAGTCGGTTCTTCGAGCAAGCGCGGCTCGTTAACTAATGATTAGACTCGCGAAGTCGCATCGTCGATTATTGTTTGCTTATCATCCGCTGTTCATTGTGGATAGATCATCTGTAATTTAGCTCCGATCGTGAACTGGAGCGTGTAAAACCGCTCGAAAATCTAACAGTTCCGCGTCGCACTGTAGATTAATTTTACTTAAATAATTCGAGCAATTAATTAATTACGCCGTCTGGTATGACTAAGTGTGTCAGCGTGTAACTTGGTTCATTAATAACAGCGATGCGTTAATTATCGGTGAGTTTAATGACGCGCGGTATCTTACGCCGTCCAGAATCGACACGCAGATCAAAATATGCATAGCGCGTCTGAATAATCTTATTGCTCGTTCAGCATTTTATTCCTTAACGACGGATAATGGTTCCTCATTACGATAATGTTCGCCAATCGATATCGGTATCTCCAACGTGATTCGATTCGCCGATAAGTCGGCGGTCTAATTGGCACTTAGGAATGGAATCGTTGTATTTCTTCATCGTACTTTCGCCGACTCATTTTACCGACGATTTATATTCCGACGACGGTGAAGCGAATTTACACGTCGTTGAGAGGAGTTGCATCTGGCAGTCGCGGATCAATCTGAATTCGCAAACACCGTCGTCTCCACGTTCCGCTTCGTCTGCCCTGCAGGCCGCCCCGACTCATCGGCTTTCGGGCCATAGGGCTGGATTAATCATGGTCCTCTGTAAGCACTGATGCATCCGCTAATCCGGGACTCTCTCACTCGATTCAACC